AGCTCCCAGCACCCACAACAAATAGTTCACAACTAACTATAATCTGGCTGCAGGGGATGTGACACCCTCTTCTGGCCTCCAAGGACACTGCACTCATGTGGACAGCCATTTGCACCTATAGGTAACAGGACAAACGGCTATTCCAGATCCATCATTTTCACAGCGCGCCATAAGGAGCAACAATGAACTCAGAGGAGGGATCATGGAGCAACAGGAACACCTAACCCAACCACCCAGGTGTTTACCAACAGGGGGCTGATTCTGCTCCCACAAACCCAGCACCTCACATAGCTGGCAACAGGAGAGAGCTTACCAACGAGGTTGGATCTCAGAAACATGTGGATGGCAACAGTTACAAACTGAGATGTGGAGGTGATAACGCAAACTTTAACATGTGCCAGACAAGTCTGTGTGCGACCAAGAGACACGAGAACGGTGCAGCGGAGACACGAGGAACAGGTGAGGGGAGCTGGAGTCGGTGTGGCAGGCTAGGAGTCTGTTCAACTTGCCACACTACCAGGGTAGGTACTTATTATCTTGTTCTCGGTGCTTTTCAGTGTTTTGAGATACTTCTCAATAAAAAAGAAAACAGGTAACCAAGCCAAGAAACCCAAACGCTAGGAGAACGGAAGAAAACAAAACCAAAACCAAAAACAAACCTGCAGACAGGGAAAATTAATACACTGAAGAGCAGAAATCACTTTGTGTTTTTAAATGTTTTCCATTAGTATTTATCAATAAAATCCTATTTTTCTGAAACTCGCAAAGTTGGCTGCTGGCCAAGCCTTGAAAGGAAGTGAGAAAGGGAGGGAGATGGGGGGGGGAGCAGAAGAATTCATACCACAGAAAAATGGGATTTAACTTCTAAAGAGATTTTTGAATCATAAGACCGTGTCATGCATAATTATTATCATTATTCTCTAAGTGCTTAATGAAATGGGCAACTTTCTAGGAAAAATATAAATAATAAAACCAGCCTGGGAAGGAAGATCTAGCTCGTTGGGCTTTGAACAAACAGGAAGTGTCGCCAGTCACCCATCCACAGCATGTTCCTGGCATGAGAGGGTTTGTGGGTGAATTCCACCAGACCAACTCATGCAGCTTGTGTGAGACTGAGGTCACTGTGGGGCACCACACAATATCTGCTGTGGCCACTGCCATTTCAGACAATGGCAGGACTCGGGTGGCCCAGGCCTGGTCCCACAGCTGGGGGAGCTTGGCTGTCATTTGTCCCGGATGCTACCGGAAGCTGCCATTAGTGTATTTGTTACTTATACCTGCCTTGTGTTTCATAAAACAGCACAAAGCTGATCTGAGCCCAGTCAATAACACCAGGAGCCGGTTACAGCCAGCTTCACAGAGCTAATGCAGAAAGGAAGATCTCTGAGGGGCCATGGCATGAAGCCAGGCCTCTGAGAGGGTCATGGCCTCCAGGTGGGAGTGGAGTCACATCTCTGTTAGGATTCAGGCATTATGCTGGCCTGCCCCCCCCCATCATCTGGCAAGATGCACTCAGGCAGTACCCTGGCCAGCCCAAGGTCCTATGGCTGCTACTTTACTACATAGGTTTCTTTAAGAGGCAAACCCTGCCCACCTCCCCTCTGTCTCTCTTTCCACCATCTCTCTGGGAAGTCTTTCCCACCTCCATTTCTTTTCTCTGTTCCCCCTCTCTTCCCCTTCCCTTTCCAATAAAACTTCCTTCCCATCTAAGTTCTGCCTGATGTCACCTTTGTCTCCCACCTTCGCCTTGTTCCTAACAGTCTCAATAATGCTCTGTAGAAAACTCTGGGCCCAGAAGGTGGTGGGTTCTTTGCAACTCTCTAAGTTTTGTCATCTCCTGGTCACAGCTGACTTTCAGAGCATGACTGATTCACAGCAAAGTGGCATCAACATCACCAGAGAATTTACCAGAAAGCCACAAACCAAGCCTGTCTTAGACCCGCAGAATCAGAAACTTGAGAGAGAGAGAGAGAGAGAGAGAGAGAGAGAGAGAGAGAGAGAGAGAGAGAGAGAGAGAGAGCACTCTCTCCCTCCCTCACCAGGGACAAGTGTGTTTCAGTCCTCTGTGATGCCACAAGCCCTCGGAGCTATGTGACATGCTGAAAATACTTGAGACCAGAGGATATCTCTCCTCTGGTGCTATACTTGTTACTTTTTAAATATTTAATTATTTTGTGTGGCAGGCACACAAGTCAAATCATGCAAATGGAGATAAGAAGACAACTTAGGGAGCCAGTTATTCTTTCACCATGTGGGTCCTGGGGATTGAACTCAGGTCTTTAGCCTTGGCAGCAAGCATCCTTACCCACTGAGCCATGTTGCTGTCCCTGCATTGGTTACTTTCTTCATCCCTGTGACAAAATACCTGACAGAAAACATCTAGCTGAGGAAGGACTCTTTTTGTTCGTGGTTCAGAAGGGTCAGTCCACACAGCAAAGATCGGCCCGGAAGCCAAGCAGCTAAACTCAGGGTGGCAAAAAGCAGATGAGCTTACAGGAAGCACGGGGTAAGGTTGTCTTGCCGCAGAGAGACGATTCCTCCAGGCAGGCCCACCTCCTCCCAGCAGTGTGGCTGCTGTGAATGCATCCGGTGAGCCCTGGGGATCAGCCGTCCCTGGAAATGCCTTTACAGACACACATCCTCACGGGTGGGCTCCACGAACCACACACCACCTCTTGATCTAGCCAGATTGACAAGATCACTCACAATGAGACCTTTAACTTTGACCTGTCCTTCCTCATACATGGCAGATTTGAACTCTGTCTCCCACAGCCGGCTTTATCCCCTCTTGTTGAACATCTTATTATTCACCAAACAGAATGTTCGGGGCTTTTATCCGCTGTTTCTTCAGTTCCTATTTTAAATAACAGGATCATTATCAGATAATTTATCTTCTATTACCAAACTAATAGATCTTTGTTATAAAAAGCAGAAAATGTGTACGCATATAATTGCAAAATATAATCTCCCACTGTTCTAGCACTGAGGGGTCACCATGCCACCACCGTGGCATGCACAGCCCAGACCTTTCACGCATAGATAGTCTTTCCACCACACACTCAGTCAACTTGTCTAAATTGCACAGTAACTTGCTTTTCTCATTTCATAATATATCGTGAGCAATTTTCCTTGTTAATCAATAAACTTTTATTACATTTTTCTCAAAATCCTCACTGTATAATTTTCTGAACTGGTCTCCTATTGTTGGAATAGTGTGCATTGATTAAATGTGTTCCAATTGGAAAGTATGGGGAATGGTGCCTGATCATTACTATATAAATAATTGGCTTCAAAACATGTTAGTTAACAGCTAGGTGAATGCAGGAGAAACAGGCAAACCCAGAGTCATCTCCAAAGATGCATTTAAAAAACACTCACGGCTTGGAACAGCCCTAATCAAGAGTTCCACAAGCAATGGAGGAGACATGATGGTTATCTTGGTTTAACAATTAGAAAGTACGCACAGGAGTTTTTCACTCTAAGTACACACCCCTCCTTTTCCTAGCAGCTGGATGCAGGATGAACCGACAGATGACACCCTGGCAGAGTCCCCTTCTCCCCATGACCAGGGACCCTCAGCAGGGCCCCTTCCAAACCTCCTGGCGATTTCTAACACTGTCCCTGCAGGCCACGTCACAGCCCCACTGAGGAGGTTCTAACCCAAACTCACCTGTTTTAGCCAAACTTCCCAGCCCCAGGATGGTGGCAGGTGGGACCACTTACCTCCGATGATCCAATAACCCTGTCTCTCAGTCCCTCAGGTTCCTGGAAGGGCCTGGGTAGTTAGGTTCCCCTCCGCCCCATACCTCTTACTGTTAATCCCACAGGGTAAGATTAAGATCAGCATCATAATTTTGAGACAAATATGAAGCAAGCTTGATTTTGTTGGGGTGCACCCAAGAGCAGGCCAGCGACTACTTCCTAAGTCCAGTAAAGAAAGCAGCCTGAAGTCCATTTCTTAGGCCTTTTAAGGAGTAAATCTAAGGAGTTTTAGGTTTACAGAAGAGACATCAGAGCGATAAGGAAGTATAGCAAGATCTGGAAAAGAAAACACCGATGGACATTGGTGGCACATGCCTTTAATCCCAGAACTTGGGAGGCAGAGGCAGGCAGATCTCTGTGAGTTTGAGGCCAACCTGGTCTACAGAGAGAGTTCCAGGGAAACCCTGTCTCGAAAAACCAAAAAAAAAAAAAAAAAAAAAAAAAAAAGAAAAGAAAAAGGAAAGAAAGGCACCATGTGATTAGAGTTAAGGAGGATCAGGGTCAAAAACAAGTTGAGGTCATGGGGTGGAGGCATCAGAATCCAGGAATCATTCTTAAAAATAGCAGTTCAGGCCGGGCGTTGGTGGCGCCCGCCTTTAATCCCAGCACTCGGAGGCAGAAGCAGGCGGATCTCTGTGAGTTCGAGGCCAGCCTGGTCTACAAAGTGAGTTCCAGGACAGTCTCCAAAGCCACAGAGAAACCCTGTCTTGAAAAACCAAAAAAAAAAAAAAAAAAAAAAAAAAAGCAGTTCAGAGTTGGGTGGCGGTGTACAGTTTAATCTCAGCATTCAGGAGGCAGAGGCAGGTGAATCTTTTAGTTTGTGGCCATCCTGGAGTTCACGCTGTAGACCAGGCTACAGCGTGAACTCCAGGATGGCCAGTGCTACACAGAGAAATCTTGTCTCAAAAACAAATACACAAAACAAACAAACAAGACCCAGCAACTCAACTCTTGAAGTAAATGGAAACTTATTTTTAATAATACAACATAATGGTGCCTGACTTCAAAATGGAGTCAGGCAGGTTCCTAATTACCCAGTTTCTGCACCCTGACCTCAAGCTTCAGAGCCACTGGCCTCCCTTAGGTCTGGGTGTCTTTGCTTTTGCAAACAATGAAATGGCTGGATACACCTGTCCTCCTCCATACCCTCTCCAGCCATCCAAAAATCACACCCAATTGAGCAGGCCTACCCCACCCACGTGACCATCATTGGTTCTGCCTTCTAGCATAAGAAGAGCATCCGCTTAGGGCCAAAGCTCAAGCAGCTGGGAAGCTATTGGGCTGCAAGCAGGTGTGGCTGCTGCCTCTCGGAGCAAGTAGCGAGTGAGGAGAGCTCTACCAGTGGACACCCAAGACTTGGGCACCCATGACCTTGGCATCTTCATCCAGCACAGTTCAATAATAGAAAGATAAATCTTCAAGGAGGATTAGGCGTGTACCGGGCTTGTTCAAGGAGACCGCAGTTTGTTCTACTGAGGGTAAGCCCTGTCTTCCCAGCATCAGATGTAATGAGCTCCTGCTGCTCTAGCCCCCGTGGTTCCTTATCATTAAGCTAACCTACCTATTCCTTGCCCACCTCTCCGAAGCTGCCAGCCTTCCGCCACTCCCCTTCCACTACCATGGCTTCACTCTTGTCCTTGCATCAGGTAAGGGTTAGGGACAAGGAGAGGTTGGTTTGGGGCCTGTGACTCTTTCCTTCCAGTCTCTCCATCAGTTCCCTGCCTTGACCTGCCTCAGTACCCAGTCCCCGGACCCTTGACCCTGGCTCCCCGGACCCCAGCCTGGCCCCCAACCGCCAGTATTACCATAAGTGGCTCCCCTCCCACCGTAAGCTTCCTCTTCAAAAAGCATGCTGCCTCCAGCACCCTCAAGGCAAGGACATGGCCAGGTCTTCCATTTTGATCACGTTTGCCAACTCGCCTTCTACAGATGCACCCAGTATGATAGTCTCACCACCTCTTCAGAGCTCAGTGCTGTCTGTCTTTTCCAGCTTGGCCAAGCTGATGGCAAAGAGTGAGAGCTCACTTCTTTGCTTGGCTCTTACCGATATAAATTTGGTACCTACAGCAGAATAAAACAGAACTAGTAATAGATAGATAGACACACAGACAGATAGATAGAACGAACCCCTTCCCATCCCCCCTTTCCTTCCTCTCTACGTTTTGCTTTTCTTGCCATGTACCTTCCATCTCAAGTAGCCAGTTAACACAGCACTACCCCCACTCCCAGCCCCCCACCCCCACCCCGGCACTGAGGGAGTTGATCATGGCCCCAAGCAGATGCAGCTAGCACTGACTTCTGCAACGTGTGTTTTTCCATAGACACTCCAGATCATCTTGGCACTGTCCGTAGCAGCCTCACCTGGGGCATTTTCTGTCCTTGTAACAACTTTTACCTTTTTCATTTAAAACATTTATGACTGACCTCTGGCATTTTCAAACTGCCAAAGCAGCTGCTCTTGCTTGGAATCACAATTAACAAAAATACGAGTCACTGATCTCATTTCAGTCTGATAAGTGAAATGGTTGAGTGTTGTATCAGGAGGGCAGCATAGACAGTGTAGATAGATACACTGGACCAAAGGATGACCAACAGTCCAGGTAGGGCTGAGGACACTTTACCGTGCTAGAGAGGCCCCAAGTGGTCCAGGATCCCTGGCTAGAGCTCTGTGTATAAGAGGCAGGACGACACTGGATTTTCCAGCAGATCCACCCTTAAGATAACCTACTAATCTCTGAGGAGATCCAACACCTCTCAAAGGTCCCCGCCTTTTAATGATTCACGGTGGGGATAAATTTTCATCATAAATTTTCATCGAGGGCATCTAAGCCCTAAATCCTAGCACTAGTGTTCTGATATTTCACAATAATGTACTTTATCTGGGTCTATTTTAATTTGTCTACTGCCCTCATAGACAGGCCCCATTCAAGTAGAATGCTTAGGTTCTAGGGCATTTTCTTAAATTGGTCTTCGGTGAACCCTGCTCCACTTTCTGTCCTGTTATTTGGTCATGTGGTTTACCCTTTAATTTTCTTATTTTCTCTAACTGTCATCATTTGAGTTTTGTGACACTTTTTGGGAGGATATCTTCAGCTTTGTCCTTGGACTCCAGGGTTTGGCGCCATCATGTCCCAAGTGCCCACCACCACCTCCAGCCCTCCTTTTATCTCCAGAGTGTATAGCTCTATCCTTATTGTTTTATTTTTTCCTCCCTTTACTTTGCTGGCTGCAGGCTTTCCTCAGGGTCTATTGGAAAATGGTGTTGGCTCATAGGTAAAAGCTGGATGCTAAATAGTCCTCTCATCCCAGACAGAAAGCATGAGTAGGTAAAGAGCCTGCAGTACAGGCAGACCCAGCCCATGAATGTGTGATCCCCAGGAGCTTGACTGGCAGAGCCAGAGACTGCAGCTCAAGCCCCAAGCGCCAGCCACCTCTTGCTTAAAGATTTAGAGGTAGATACTCTGGACTCCACAGACGCAGGCTGGAGGCTAACCCAGGGCTCTGATGAGCCGCCTAACACTGGGCAGCTGTCTACTCCTCAGCTTCCGGTGGTGATCAGCATCAAGCAGGGCCTGGCTGGGCATCCAGTGTGGGGCCCTCAGCTCCTACAGCACCCCGTGTTCCAGGCCAGGCTGCGTGGGAGCCTTGAACCCTACAACTTAATAGCTTCCTGGGACGTTTCTAGAAAACTGGACCAGTAATTTCTGTCTCTGGCTTGTTACAGTCTTTTCAGCCTTAGCTCTCTCTGCTGGTTGTCACCTTGGAATGTCTCTGCCACCTCTGTCCTCCCAGGGATTCCTTATCCTTCCTCTGCTACCTGTAAGACAGAGGGACGCAGGACACAAAACCAAACCCAGGAGGAAGACAAAGGGAAACATGAGGAAACTGGGTCACAGGAAATGGGAGCCTGGCTGAGGGGCCCAGCCTGCAGGGTGGGCATCGAATCAATCAGCTGGGGCATAGCACTGGAGGATGTTAAGGGAAATGTGGCGGTTTTCTTGGATTAGAGAAAAGCGAGTGGCATACCTGCTTGTCTCTCAGTGACTTTCTTGTTCACCTTTCAGTGTCCTTATCTCTCAGTGACCTGCTCGCCCCTCAGTGGCCTGCTAAAGAAGGTGACCTGGACCACAGCTGGAGAGGTAAGTCACATGTTCCTTCACGGAGGAGGAGGAGGGGGAAGAGGACTTCCTTCTCACATCCAGGGAAACCCCTCTGTACCAGCTTCTCCCGTTCCTACCTTCTGAGGTGGGAGCTCCAGATCTTTTTGGAATGTTCTATTTTCCATCTTCATGTCACTGGATATCTGAGGGGTTGGGTGCTGGTCTTCCAGGCAGTTTGTTCCACAGGTTGGAGCGAAGCCCAGGGGCTTCTTGATGCTCAGATGGAAGAACTTGTAATTGATTTGAGGTACTGACTCTCTGACAGATCACATCTGGGCCAGGGCATGGCTCAGTAGCAGAATGCTCACCTAGCTTGCCATGAGGTCCCAGGTTTCATCTTCATCCCCCCAAAGAAAGACGGTCTCCTTCACATTCCGTCTCTGGTGTAAGCTCTAGTGTGAGCTGTGGCTGCTACCCTGTCCTTTAGCCTCCTCAGCCCCACCATGGTCCTCACATGACTCCTGGCAGCTCTTCTCTGATTGCCATCCTCTCCACAGGGGTAACTGCCAGCCAGGGGTACCAGATGTCCAGCCTGTGCACCACCCAGGAGCAAGCTATGAGAAGAAACGTCACCACCAAAGCATCTGGAGAAGCCCACATGTCCTCGGCTACCCCAGCTGATGCAATAGATTCTAGGACTTCCTATGATCTCTGGGGTGGTATGAAAGGAGGATACCTAAGTGATGTAGTTCTGAACCCCTACTCCAGGACTTCCTATGTTGCCTACCCCGCTGTAAAGACCCTGCCACAAGTGTACCCAGCCCCCTATACTTACACGTGGGTAAAGCACTGCAAATATTCGAGGAGGAAGCTTCCCGTGCCATCAGTATGGTCAAGGGAGGCCACCAGCTTTTATCACCACCTCGAGAGCCAGTACCCAGATGGCATGAAATCTGATGCATTTCCTTGTTCCATGAGTTTACTACCCCCTAATTCCTCAGTCTTTCCCACTTTTGCCCATGATATTTCCAGGCATTATCCAAGATGGGAACCAGGAACCAACCAGCCCATCCAGGCCCATAGTGAGGGGTCCACTTATAACCCCTCATTTATAAGGCATTGGGTGGTAAGTTACCCAGATGCCTGCAAGCCCCATCTTCAAATGCCTCCCCATTTCCTTTAACCCAGATCCTGAGTCCCAACCCAGCAGCCCCAACTGCCTCTGGCATCTACCCTTCAGGGTCCCCGACTTCCATGTATGGCAGCTGTGTCCTTTAGGTAATGTCCCTGGACTACAGAACCCAGCAGGTACTCTCTGAAGCCTCTTCAAAAGCCCCACTTGGATGGACTTTAGACAGGATCCTCTCTTTCTGCACAGATTTCACTGCATACACCACACTGTCCCCTTTCTCACCTGCTGTCTGCCGCTCACAGAGCTGGTGACACAGTCCCACAAAGTACAGTGACTTATGTGTTTTTTATATTAAATAAATGACATTCTATCAATCACATTTTTCTTATTTTTCACAAGTTAATGTATTTTAAGGCCCAGCCTAACCTGCAAGTGCAAAGAGTACATTTATATTTTGAAATTTATTGGCATGGAAGTTCTTATGTACTTCCTACTTGTTTTTATTATCCACTGTATTCTACTTTTCTCTCCTACTGTTGAATATACTAAAGGAGGAAAAAGAAGTTTTAACATAGGCTGTGGTTTAGCTCTTGAGTATTTACCCAGAGCCCCCTGTGTTGAGGGCCTTGCAAATGATGGGGAGTTTATGAGGCAGGGAGGTCTTTAGGTCACTGGGAGTGTGACCTTGCAGAAGGTGGCGAGGCTCCAGCCCCCTCCTTTTCTGGCCATGAGGTAAGCAATTCCACTTCACCACACTCCCTGTCATGTGCCACACAGGCTCAAAGCAAAGGGGCCAATCAGCCACAGCTCTGAACCCTCTGAAGCTGAGCTGAGTAAACCTTTCTCTACATAAATTGGAGACCTTGGGCATTTTTATAGCAACAGGATACTGATAGACACCATGGGGTTGTGCTTCAGCAGACTGTTGACATCACTGATCGACGGTGTCTCCTATCATCCATAGGTTAAGCTTCATCTTGTATCTTCAAGGATAACTTCTGTCAATTCATTTGCCTTGAGTTCCTTTTACTATTAAATATGCCAATTTAAATACATCCCATCATGATGTGTGAGCATTTTATTATCTTTGTAAAATTTGTTTAGATTTATGTGTATGAGTATTTTGCCTGCATTTATGTATATGTATTATATGTGTGCCTCGTGTCCATAGAGGTCAAAATTGGGTGTCAGATCCCTGGGAGCTGGAGTTACAGATGGTAGTGACCTGCCTGCTATGGGTGTTGGGAACTGAACTCAGGTCCTCTGCAAAAGAAGTACACACTCTTAACTGCTGAGCTGTCTCTTCAGCCCTGTATCATTTTAAGCAATCACTATTAAGGAAGGTAGGGGACCAAATCAATTTTCTAATTGTCTTAAAGTCCAAAATAAAACCTGTCTTTGTTGTTTGAAATATCTCTGATGGGGCTGGAGATGAGAGCTCAGTGAGAGAGCAGGCTAACTCACCTGAGGTCTGGGGTTCTATCCCCAGGTGCACCAAGTCTCTGCAGTATTTCTCTCTCTGGGTTGCAGTTACCTCCCCACAGTTAAGATTCCAGTCCTTGCTGCCCTGTGGTCTAGTGAACACTCTGTGTGTGAATACTGTGTTTCTGCAACAGAATATTCATGTAGAAGCTTACATCCTCTAAACCAGGATATGTGTTATGTTGGGGTAGGGGTTTCGCCTTTGTTTCCACAGGAGAAGAAAAACTTGGGATACCATCAAAGTTGATCAAGATTCGGTTCGAACAGGAGAAACCTCTTGATGAGGAGAAATGACAGGTCATCCACCAAGGTATATCTCACGAGTTGTATGAAGACCTCATAAAGAAAAGGAGTGTTTTGTTTTTGTCTTAACAAGAAAGCTCATCTCAAAAAGACACTGAACATGTACATGCCTAAAGAAGAGAGGATAGCCATCCAAAAAGAACTATCAAAGAAGAATCTGATACATGGTACCAATATATAATTCTATTAAACTGTGTCTATACAAAAATCTATTTGTCTTTACTTCCTAATACTCTTTTATCCCAATTCACTTAAACCAACACTGGCTTTAGAGTCGGATTTGGTTTTCCTCCTCTAAATACAAGCATGTTGTTAAAACAAAATTCCACTTGATCCAACTTGATGTCTTTGAACTGACAATTACTACCCTAAAACCTGTTTGGGACTATATTGCTCTAGAAAACTCCAGACTAGCTAGCTGAAATGGTGCACCTTCTTATAACACTCTGTCCAGAGCTTCAGATAAGAACTTCAGTTAAGCATCTCCAGCCGAACAGAAACTAGGTACAATGTTGTAGTTAGTCTGCTCGAGACTTTCGTTGCTCTAAAATTTTCTTCCTACAGGATCCTATGAGGTTTTCATCATCCCATTTCAGCAGGAAGTAATTCTAAGAATGCAATGCCCCCTTTCCCTAGTGTTGACACCTGTTTAGGGTTGGGTTTGGAAGGAGGTGTTCAGATCGGATATTTTAGATAAGCTTAGGGTATGATTGGAAAGGTATGGTTAGGATGGGATATAGGTAGATTAATATATCTTCTTGTGATTTATCTTAGCAATTATTAGCTATAGACAACTTACATCATTATAGATTCTCATATGATGTAACTTATGTATTATCAAGTTGTATTCCTTTCTTGGATAATTTGCATATTACATTTTGTCATACTGTGTAAGGTCTTTCTATTTACAATGTTTTGTGCACAAATATCCTTGTCATAATCTATGTATACATGCTTTTATATATGTTTAAGATATCCTGTATTTTGACACAATTTAGGATGCTTTTATCATGTTGCACTATACAGTTCTACCTCTGATTAAGACACTTTCATTCTACCTCTGTTTTAGAGATTCACATGTATATGTGTATGTAGTTATATTGCTGTAATCTTGGTCCTTGCTAAATTATTTTGGGAAGCTTAAGCCATTGTATTACTAGGTTCCTGAGAATTACAGATATTTTCACCCACATTCTTATATCTATGAGATTAGGCAGACATAGATTTTGATCTTCAAACACTTCATAGACCTACAGAATATGGCATTTAAATGTTTTAATATTAGTACTCTGTTGACATGAGACATGACTGCACCCAGCTATTCCAGAGAAAATGTTAGGCACTGATGATACTCCTTCTGGAGTCCATTCTCTCCTTGGCTAATGGCCTCTTGGGCAAAGAACTACCCCCATCTCAACAACTGACTTTGAACATGCTGTCCTACTGTGCTTGAAGGCGATAAATTTAGAAGACTGCTGAACCTTACCAAGTCAGGGTAAGACAGTCTTTCTACCTCCCTGCTTCTGTGTTGGCCAGCCTGTTACTCTAGGCCTTAGCCAAAGCTGGTTGTCCCTACGCTGCTGTGAGGCTTTGGGTGACTGTCCAGGCAGCCTGCTGTCTCTGTCTTTGCTGCACCTTTGGAAGTTGCTCACCTCTGCTTCCTGCCCACCCCATTATTGTTATCCTCCTTCTCAGGTCTTTGATGAGGTTGAAGATTAGACTGTCACAATTATTGTTCTCTCTGTCTCTCTCTCTCTGTCTCTCTCTCTCTCTCTCTTCCTCCCTCCCTCCCTCTCTCTCCCCCCCCCCTCTCTCTGGATATTAGACTTAAACTTTCCACCTTAGTACAGTAGTCTCTGTTATGCCTTTACCCTAGGACTGGATATATAGTTCTTGCCATTTGCTCTTGTTTCACTGGCTTTAGATCTTGAGGGTCTATGCTTGTACTTTTCCTTCTCCTAGCGCATGCCTGATTTTTGCCATCTTTGTACATAGTTTTGTATCAAGTCTAAATCTTTAGTCTAGGAGGAATTGTAGGGAGAGATCTTACTAGGTACCTATGGCGCAGACCCGCCTGTTTGGGCGTGGCCGCAGGTACATAAAGGGTGTGTGGGATATAGGCCTGAGGAGAGGCAGGCGCAGCCTCTCTTGGTGCTCTGGTCAGATCTCAGAGGGCAGCTGAGATTGAATGCTCGGAGCACTGACCCTGAGTTATCAGTTTCTCAAGTAAGCGATTTCTCCCCAATAAACTTAAGCTATCTCACCCCTATCCTGTGCATGGTAATCTTCTTCCAATATACCTCTTCTAGTATGGGGTACTAACTTCACATTCATGATCCCCAAACAACAGTTCACTGAGCAGCAACGCTTGTTCTAGGACTGTAAAAGAGAGATCATTAAAAATACATGTGAGAAGATAGATAGAAAATTCCCAGGCTTCTTGGTAGTTTTGGAATCTGAAATAATCGATTGTTAGAAGGTTGAGCGAACTTGAAAAAGCTTGCTGGAGTTTCTGTGGCCGGCAGCCTGTGGTGGGGGCGTCTGTGCAAGCTCCTAGATGGGTGGGAGGGCAAGGAGCTGCAGGCCTCAAAGATGCTCACCTGGCGGGGGGGAGACCTGCACCCGATGTGCAGCACCACCGAGCCTGGCTTGTCTACTGAGGAGGTCTTAACCTGAGAATCAGTCCCCTCCTCGGGCATCGAGGTCACCCCTCCAGCACTCTGCAGCGAGGCTGTATCTTCTTGAGTGTGGCAGCCTTTAAAAACGCTGTTGCTACCCGAAAAAAACCAAAACCAAAATCAAAACAAAACAAAAATACGCTCTTGCTTCGATGCTGTCTGCACAGCTTAGCCCTTTGTATGGACTGGCTCTTCCCTCAGAGCAGCAGGGTGTGTGCAAAGTCCCTTCTCCTGCCACACTGGTTACAAAGGTCTGAACAAACCTACAACACACCATCAGTGGGAATTACACAAGACAACTACCTCCCTAGAGGCCATGAAGGATATGGGGTGGTGCTTGGCTTTCATGGTGCCCTAAAGACCAACTCTTAGCTAGTTGAAGCACCATTTGATTCCCCTGAAGCCCATCCCAGGCTGGGTTCTAGAGGCCCAGCAATGCCTAGAGCCACCTGCCACCGGGTCTGAACCTGCAGAAAGGCTGCCTGGATGGAAGGACAGGCACCTAAAGAAGTTGCCTGTCCCAGAACTGTGGGTGGCTGCTTCTCCTCTGTTATTACCTTTTATTCCCAGGCTTATTGAGTTCTAACTACACCTTTTCTTCTTAAACAGATTCTTTGTGTAGACTAGGTTGGCCTTGAATTCACAATCCTCCTGCCTCAGCCTCCTGAGTGCTGGGGTGACAGGCATGAGCCAACATACTTGGCAATTTCCACATTGTTATTTGAAGAACTTCAGTCATAAAAAATAATAGGAAAATGGATACCCTTATATTTTCTATCTAGATACAAAGGTAGTTAATTTTTCCCATATCTATATCATTGTTCCTCTCAGAAACAAGCAGAGTTACAAATGATAGTACAACTTAAGTCCATGCATCCATCTATCAATGCACCAGCTGTCTGTCAGGCTGTACTTCATCTTAAAGCAAAGATGTCTGCCAGGTCCTTGCATCTTTAAGAAAGGGGAGTTCTCATATATTGCCTTCTATCATAATCACATAGGTCAAAATTAATATCATGATCTAGTGCTTAAACGCATTCAAATATTCCTGGTGGCACCAACCATATATTTTATAGCTTTATAAAACCCAGGTGGAGCCCTATTATACGTGTGCATGCTTCTTCAAATAAAAGCATGAGCGACAGGCTCCCTGTAGCTTTCTCCTCTCTCTCCTCAGTACATGCTGCTATGTATGTGTGTGTACTCATTTATGCATACACACATATTGCTGTCAGTGTCTTCCTTTACGACTTGGTTTTTTTTGAGACTCTTCTTTCACTAAACCTGGAGCTCACTGGCCAGTGAGCCCTGGGGACCCTCTTGTCTCTGTCTCCCCGGTGCTAGGATTTCAGGCACAAGTACCATGCCTGGCTTTGTACATGGGTGCTGGGGATCTAATGCAGGCTAGTCACAGCAAGCACTCTGCCAACTCCACCATCTCCTCAGCCTCCTTTTTACTTTTTAGATGGTATCTGTGGTCAACAGTTCTGTTTGTGAAGCTCTGAATTATTAAAACTTTCTCACTGGGGCTTTAGAAGATCCATTTAATTGTTTCATCTCCCTCAAGGTCATGGGCATTTCTCATTTTTTCT